TTTATTTAAAAGTAAGTTAAGTCTTCTCAACAGTAACACATTTATCTATATTTTACTGATTTGCTGTCTGAAACATGTTGGACCAATTCTGGGTATCAATTTTAATTTATCACATTACATTGATTTCAAATCTAGGAATTAAGATTTAAAATAACATCAATCTTTTTTCTATACTTCTGAATATTTAGAACTGTGATGGAAAGGGAAATAGCTAGAAACACATTATCAGGTCATCCCATAAGTTCTGTCCAAATTTTAACTTTTTGTTAAAATGAACAAAATTTAAAGAGTATTTTATAATGTCTAATAGAGCCGAACATTATTTTTATGTTTAGATGCATTTAAACTGATGAAATTTTATTTCAGAGAACAATAAAATTAAATTTTGTTTGATCAAAACCCTGCTAACATGGAAGTACCCAAGAATCATTTGAGGCACATAATGCTTTATGAGTTCAAGAAAGGAAACTCAGCAGCCGAAGAGGCTAGAAACATTCACTCAGTTTATGGAGAGGAATGTGTGAATGAAAGAACTTGCAGAAGATGGTTTGCAAAATTCAGAGGTGGAGATTTCAACTTGAAGATGAAGATCAAACCGGATGTCCAGTTGAGTTTGATGAAAAGTTTCTTGAAGCAGCCCTTGAAGAAAATCCTGCTTAGCAGTGGTTCTCAGTTCAAACCATACAACTGTTCATCATCATTTTCAACAACTTGGAAAATTTCCTATACTTGGAAAATGGGTGCCTCATGAATTGTCCGAAAACAACCTCAAATCCCGAGTTGACATCTGCTCTTCTCTCCATTCTCACCAACTTGTTTCAACTTTTTTGGATAGACTTGTGACTAGTGATGAAAAATGGATCTTTTATTGAAATGTTAAGTGTTGTAAACAGTGGCTTGGTAAAGGGGAAGGACCCCAGCCACAGCCGAGAAGGGAACTTCATGGGCAAAAGGTTCTTCTTTCAATCTGGTGGGATCGCCAAGGAATAATCCACTTTGAATTCTTACCACCTAATGCAATAATTAATGCTCAAATATACTGTCAGCAATTAGAGTGTTTGAACCAAGCTTTGAGGAAAAAAAAGACCTGCTCTAGTGAATCGAAAAGAGGTGATGTTTCATCAGGACAATGCGCGACCCCACACAACAAGAATCACGTCACAAAAGATCAAAGAATTTGGTTGTGAGAAAATTCCTCATTCACCTTATGCTCCCGATCTTGCTCCTTCAGACTACCATTTGTTTCGTAGCTTACAGAATCATTTGGAAGAAACAGCTTTTGTAACACAGGAAGAGGTTAAAACTAACATTTGTGAGTTCTTTGAATCAAAGCCAAAAGAATTTTATAGTAATGGAATTAGTAATCTTGTTAATAGATGGAAGGAAGTCATAGATAATCAGGGAAATACATTGTTGATTGAATCTGTAATTAAATGTAACATTGTTTTCTTTATTCAAAATTTGGACAGAACTTATGGGATGACTTGATACATTTAATGATTTTAGTTGAATAACTGGTTTACTTTCATAGTGTTTTGTTTTTCTGTCTGTATTTCTGATATGAGGTATTGTAACTATTTACATTGTTCAGACTGTTGTCCTCATCTTTATTGCCATATTCATGATGTTTCAGCTGTTGTATGGTCTGGCCTTCTTCAGGTGATATACATTGGAATTTCAAACCAAACACTTTATTTCATCTACCAGGGTAGATTGTTCTAGTTTCACATGCCAAGGACACATGGCCCACTGGATAAAAGTGACTTGACCTGAGGAGTTGTGAGTTCAATATCTGGCCACAGCAGAGTTGAACAAAAACTTGGAGAGTTACTAAAGGGAAATAACTGAAAATGAGATACCTAGAAAAGTCATGGCACATAGAACTAGAAGAATGTACCCCAATGGATAAAATAAAAGGTTCAGTTTGAACCCTAACAGGTGCTCTGGGGTACAACAATAATTAAGAGGTTGTTCCATGCTCTTCAAAACCTCAAATCTCTCAATCAGTGGCCTTGCTGCTAGATGTAGTTTATCATCATACCCAGGACAGTGATCAACCTAATGTTTATTTAATAAGTACTTATAATTTATAAAAATAATTTTTGTAATAAAATATGGAAATGATTGTGATGAAAAAGGAAACAAAATAAAAAATACTTTTTTAAAGAATAAAACTGTCTTCCAAAAGACTTGGTTATATTTTTGGTTTGCAAAATGAATTTTCTCATTCTTCTTTTATATGCCATGTCCCTTCAGGACGTTTACAATCATGGCTCTCCACAATTTCTTGTTCTTTATGTCTCTTAATAAATTTTGCCTTTTTGTTATCTCTCTGAGGCGAATGAAGAAAACAGTAACCAGCGAGTAAATTCAAGCTCTCCCAGCTGGTATTTCAACCTTGAGTCATTCCTTCTTGAGTTCTATCTCCAAATCACACTAACTGCCCATTCTTGCCGTCAACCGTGAACGTCCCTCGAAGAACTCCCCGACTCGGAAAAAAGTAGTTGTTTTTATAGTTGTTCATATACCCATAATCCCTTGCGTCTTCATGTGATCTCATAATTCATTGCGTCCATGTCCCATAATGCATTGCATCGTCATTGCATAAAAATGTGATGCCAGTCCCCCCTCATTCTTTTACGTTATCTGGCTGAGGATGGTATTCGACAGAGCGGTAAGTGCTTTTTTTCTCTCCCTCATTTCAACTGCAGTAGCTTTACATGCTAAGCAAATACGGGCTCTTTTTTGGCGGGGACAAGGCAAGTCACGACCAGTTGTGCTTGTCCCAGGTTCTGTCTCATGTCCGCCACACTCTCTTAAACCCTTTTCTACCATCTGTTTACACATGCTCATTAGGTAGGTTATGCATTGTTTTCCTTTATCCCTTTTGCCTCCAGTCTGTCCTGGGAGTATCAAATTTTCCAAGCCCCCTATCCTCATTATATGACTTAGAAATTACGACTATCTCTTTCTAATGTTAAGTGTAAGTAGCTTTTTAGTTTTCATTTTCTCTAAAATTTTGTCATTGCTCACATGTTCAGTCCATTATATTCTCAGAACCTTTCTTTAGAACCGTGTTTCTGTTGCCTCAATTCTCTTCTTCACCTGTGATGAGATGGTTCAGCAATAACTGTCATATAGGAGGACTGATATTATGTAACAGTTCAGTACTCTTTTCTTTGTTTCTAATGCAATTTTCCTATTTCTTAATACTTTGCTTAGCTTTTGCAAGGCTTCTTTCGCTATCCCAATGAACCTTTAGATTTCAATGTCACATATTCTATCTTCTGTTAAAACACTTCCTAAATATTTAATTTTTTTTATTTTCTTATTTTATTTCCAATTTGTAATTTGCATGTTGGGCTATTTCTTTTTGTTAACAACCATGCATTCTATCTTTCTTCTCACTTTCCTTCACTAACTTCTGTGTCTGATATCATCCCAGTGTCATCTGCATATCTTATGTTGTTCAGATTTGGGTCACCAATAATGAATTCTGGATAGGACTTCTAATACTCTCAGAATTGCCTCTGTATAAATCCAGTGAGAAGACACATACTTGTCTTTAAACGTTTTTACTTTCATCAGTAAGTTTAGTAGTTAGGCCTGGATGTGAATTGTGATGTAATGGATATTGGCTCAGAATGAGAACTCAAAGAGCCAAGTTTGAATTCCATTTGAGTTTGTTATATTAACTTATGCACAATACCATTGGGAAAGATATGAATCCATCTCTTCTCCCCATCTATGGGTTAAATAGCAAGACAGACTAGGTTCTTTAGCTTTGGTTGGCAACCAGTCTATCACAGAAAGAAATGGCAACCCACTGCTGTAAAAATCTTCTGCCTCATCAGTCATGTATTGAAAAAGACATGATTGCCTAAGTGTGTATCATGTGTGGCACTTAACTGAGTTAGTCTAAAAAAAACTTTCTCACGTGTGTCTATAAAATTAGTTAAGAAATCAGGATATTAATATATGAGGTACATTGGTGTAATGGATAGCAATTCAGATTGAGGAATCAGAGTGCTGAGTTCAAATTCCAGTTGAATCCATTACTTTCACTTATGTGCTAATACCCTTGGGAAAGGTATGAATCCTCTTCTTCTCCCCCCAGCTATGGGTAAATAACAGGACAGATATATATAAAGAGAAAGTTTAAAGGAAAATCAGAACAAAAACAGTTGAAATTTCTGGGATTTATAATGAGGAAAGAAAATTTGGAGAATTTGATATTCAAAGGACATATTTAAAGCAAGAGAGTGACAAGGAAACAGAGAATAACCTGCCTAACAGGCTTGTTAAGATGAATAGCAGAACAGGGCCCCATGAGGGATAGTAAGGGGCCAAAAGTTGCTTAGAGCTACAAAGGATAGGAAGTTGTGGAGAGCCAAAGTCTCACACGTCTTGAAAGAACATGACATATAAAAAGAATTACAAGAAATATGTTGCTCCCAGTTATTTTTTAATAATTTCACCACAAGCAAGGCAATAAAGCCACTAAGATGTAATGGATTACTAAGTCTTAGAGAATATGAGAGAAAAAACACTATTAAGGAGAGAGAACAATAAAAGAACAGGAATTAAGCAGACAGAAGATAACAATTGCCACCGTACCTTTTGAACATCAAAGTTGAGTGGGAAACAAGAAGCCAAAAGAGAATTCAACAAGTGAGAAGTGTAAGAAATGAAACTGTTAGTATAGATCCTATGGTTACATCTAGCCATTTCAACTGTAAAATTATGAGACCTTGCCACCAATCTAGCACTGCACTTAGGTGCCAAAGAGGAGAATTCATTAAAACAATTACCATGAAAATATTTAAAGAAAAAACACAAGGAAGCTTTGTTACAGCAGTTGCAAAGTGACTGGAGCTGAGATGCCAGGTTAGGACCAATAACATTATGCTAGGATTTTCTTTTAAATGTGTATTTATATGACCCATTTTAACTATTGTGACTGTGAAGTATAATATTGCAATTTTATTTTATTTTTCAAGGCCAATTAGCGGCAGCTAAAATAATGGAAAATATCCATGAAACAGTTGAGGAAATCGAACAGGAATACCAAATCTTAAAGGCTGTGAGTTGCCATCCAAACTTTCCACAGTTTTATGGATTGTACCTCAAAAAGGATACAAAAATGGATGATCAGTTATGGATTATCATGGAGGTAAGTTACTTTATTTTAGAACCTTTTATTTTGAACAGCAATTCAATACTTCACAAAAAAAAGGATTTCTATAAATTTAGAAAACTATTCTCTTTCAAAGATTATTATTCTAAATATAATTTAAGGAACTTTAAAAAAATTTTTTCCTGTTTAATCTTAATATCTTTTGAAATTTTATTTATGTTCATTTCATTTTGAAGTGAAATCCATCATGATGGGATTTAAGTGATTTTAATCAATTATCAATCAAACTCAAAAAACTGATAATTTTAAGTTAATACTAATAAATTAAAAATGAAAATATAGATACAAAAATTACAATAAGAGTTGAACTTAAACTTAAAAATTACAAAATCATTTGGAACAACAAAGATTCAATAGATTTAAGAAAGAATAAATTAATATACATGCACAATTGTTAGTATATTTATTGATTATTACATGAGTATGTATGTATATGTATATGTCTAGTACTATATAAATTTGTAGTGATATGTCTATTAGTATATGTGTATGTATGTATATGTTGAGTAGTACATGCATATTTAGGCATATGTTTCTTAATATATGAATGTATATATATATGTTTATTAGTATATGAGTGTGTATGTATGTCTATTAGTACATGCATAAGTATATGTCTATTAGTACATGAATGTATGTATATGTTGAGTAACACATGCATATGTATGAATATGTCTATAAGTACATGAATGTATGTATGTTTCTGTCTATTAGTACATGAGGGTGTATATATATGTCTATTAGTACATGTGTACGTATGTATATGTCTATTAGTACATGAATGGATATATTTATATGTCTATTAGTACATAAATGTGTATGTATGTGTCTATTAGTATATGAATATATATATATGTAAATGCTTATTAGTACATGAGTGTGTATGTCTATTAGTACATGGGTATGTATTTATATGGCTATTACTATATGGGTGTGTATGTACACTGTTGACTGAAATTATTGGCACAGTGTTAGTTCCTTTAATTTATGGAGAATATACTTTTAAATATTGTTGCAGTTGCGTTTTCCTTTTATGTGTAGCCACTTGTTATAACCCATTTTTTTTTATTAATAATTTCGCCCCAAGCAAGGCAATTAAGATACAAGAGGTTACTGAGTGTGAATAGAAAATATGAGAAAAAAACCTTATTAAGATAAGAGAACAGTAAAAGAACAGGAATCAAGAAGACAGGAAATAGCAATTGACATTGCATTTAAATTTTTGAAGATCAAACTTGACTGAAATGCAAGAAACCAGAAGCGAGTTCCAGACATGCCAGACATGGCCCCTAATAAAAACCCTTGAGAGGAAACTGATCACTTGTGAGATGAAATGCCTGAGAAAAGCAATGAACAAGACCAGGCGAGACAATAAGAGATATGGTAGGAGCAATACCAATCATACAACATATCGAATGACAGAGGATCAAGTGATTTGGACACCTCACTCGTATGCCTATCAACCAACCAGCCCTTTGAGCATACACCCCCCAGTTACTCTGGTTGGAGAGTGAGAGGCAGACCAAGAAGATGCTTGAGCGACTCAGTGGCAGACACTCTCAGAGCCCATGAGATATCTCTCCTCCAGGCCACTCACCTTGCTGCTTACAGACAACTCTATCTCACCGTGATGCCTAACAGCACACACGGAAGGAAAAACTAAAACTAAAATAATTGGTAGAAGGTGGGTCAAGTCACCTTAATGTAGAAGAAATGAATCTAATTGGTTGAGAATTGTGCTTATATAACTTATAACATTCAGTTAAATATGGTAAACAATTTCACTTGATTTTGAGTTGAACAAAAGTAAGAATGTTTGATTATATCACTTCTTTTATATGCTGTATCCCTTCAGGATATGAACAACCATGGCTTTCTTCAATTTCCAATCTTTTTCAGCTCATGATAATGTTTGTCTTTTCACTATACCTCTCAGTCACTTTACACAAGCTTGTTAGGTAGGCTACTGTTTCCCTCTGCTTGTCTTACTTTCAGTATGTCCTATGGATGTCAAATTCTCTAAGCCCTCTTTTCTCATTATAAGAACTAGAAATTTTAACTGTTGTTTTGTAATTCTAAACATATATTCTTTTTTCCTTCCAATTTACTGTACAATTTTCTTATTGCTCACTTGTTCCATCCATCGTATTCTCAGCATTCTTCTGTAGAACCCAATCTCGGTTGTTTCAAGTCACCTTTTCATCTGTGAGGATGACATATAGAAAGATTGATATTACATCTAAGTTTAGCACTCTTTTCTTTGTTTCCAATGAAAATTTTCTTGTTTCATAATACTTTATTTAGCTTTTGGAAGGTATCTTTCACTATTCTTATGTGTTTTCAGATTCTTGTAGTTGCTTGATTTTGACACATCTACTTCATAATTTGAATCTTTATATGTACCACTTCCTGACTACCATATATTTTAGCAATTGATTGAAGCAAACTTTTATTGACTGCAGTATGACACAAACAAGTGTCTGAACTGCTAGGTAAGCTTAATTTATTTGGGAAAATATGAGAATAATGCAGGATCTATAATAGGAGCAAACTGCCTCTATTTGAATAGAAAATAAATTCAGTAAATAAAATAGAAAGGGTTTTAAGACAAGGATATATTTTCTCACCAGACTTATTCAACATTTATGATGAAGTGATACTGAGAAAATTAGAAGTCCTACCAGAATTCCTTATTAGCAGCCATAACTTTAACAACATAGGATATACAGATGATACAATACTGATATCAGGCATAGAAAGGAATCAACAGCAATTCCTACAGAAGATAGTAAAGGAAGACAAGAAGAAAGGACTAAAAATCAATTGCAAGAAGATAGAATGCATGGTCATCAGCCAAAGAAACATCCAAGATGCACACTATGAAATGGAGACAACAAAACCAAGCAATTACAAAAACTTAAATATCTAAGTGTTTAGATTATATATTGTTATATTCCATGCTAATAGGAATAAATACTTGAAAAACATGGTGGATAAAATAAGTAAAGGTTTATTGTAAAAACCAGTACAATAAGAATAAAGGTAACAGTTATGCACAAAGTCATCGCAAGTCAATCTAGTAGTGAGTGCTACTATTGGAAGCTTGGTAGTTCTCGTGTAAGTCTGAGTCATACTCAACAGATCCCAGTTAGACAGTATCTAGCAACTGTTCCACGCAGTCACATGTGGCACAAGGCCGAATTTAATGTGAGATTCCTGAGCCTATAGACTCAGCCCAAAAATTCCCATACACCCTGCATAAACGGGATCAGGTCTGTCTACCTCCCTGGACGAGGCTCTGCTCTTTGGCATAGCCTTGTCTGGGTTCCTCTCTGCCCAAAGGCAGAGAGTTTGACCAGGACAGCTGGTAAAGATTCCAGCTAGACTCCTGTAGTCCATTGACTTACAGCTACTTCTAGTTTGTTACTACCTATAGTGTAGTCACTCATGGGGGTGACAGGTTATTCCATTACATCATATATATAAGTGTTTTAATAGAAAATGGAAAATGTGACAGCAAAATGTGAAGACACATTGGAATAATGAAAGATGCCTTCCAAAAGCTAAGCAAAGTATTAAGAAACAGGAAGATTTCACTAGAAACAAAGAATACTGAAATATTATGTAATATCAGTCCTCCTATATTGCTGTGAATACTGGACAATAAAGAAGAGACTTGAGGCAACAGAAATGTAGTTCAACAGAATGATGCTGAGTATAGCATGAACTGAAAATGTGAGCAATGACAAATTTGAGGGAAAATGGAAATAAAAAGGACACTTATACATGAAATCAGAAACGATTGAAATTACTAGGGTGCATTATGAGGAAAGAAGGCTTGGAGAATTTGACACTGACAAGATTGTGTAAATGGTTAGCAAAACAGAGATTAGGAGGGATAACAAAAAGACAAAACTTACAAAGAACTACAAACCTTACAAAGAACTACAAAAGACATGAATTTGTACATCATTCACATCCTGAAGTAACATAACATATAGAAAAATCAGACTAAAATGATTTCTTCTTTTATGTACCATGTCCCTTTTGGACGTAGGCAATCATGGACCTCCATTTCCTGCTGTCTTTTGTAGCATTCAATGAGCTTTGACATTTTGTTATTTCTCCCAGACCCTGTTCTGCCATCCACTTGCTTGTCCCTCTTTCCTTCTTTCCACCCTATGAGTATCAGTGAAATGTCAGCGACTAGACTGGCTACCCTACTCCGTGTTCTTATGAGTGAGGCTTGTTAGCAAGAATGAAAAATAACACCTAACAAAGGGCAGAAAATCTTTCGATGAGTCAAGAGCCAGCTAACTGTCTCCATAAACAACCATTATGAAATGATTTAGGAGAACAAAAAAATAAAAATAAAATAGCCTGATGTCATCTTATCTTCATTGCATAATTGTGTACTGATCAAATAAATTGTTGGTTGGTTGATTTTGTTCAATGGTATATCAACCTCTACTGGTTATTTAAGCTGAAATCTAAATATTTTGAACAATTTTATGGTTTCAACCAAATATACCCTGAACAAATTGCATGCCTTTAACTATAGAAAATGTATTATTGGTAATTTTTTCTTTTATATAAATATGTATTGCTGGTATTTTTACTATAAAAATGTATTTTTATACTTTCATAGTGTTTTGTTTTTGTTAGGGTAGGGGGTACTGATCAAATAAAGACATGTTTCCTTGCTGTCCCAAACCACATGACAGACCACCTAAGAGATGGAAAAACCATATGACTTCTGTCACTTGTAAGGATTGCATCTATGGCAAAGATCTAGAAAGCCAGTAATTTTTACATAAAAACTTATATTGTCATGTTTTTCATTCTCTGTGTAGTCAAAATAAATATTCTAGATCCTGAAAAGTGTGGTCAAATGAACAAAATAATAAATTTATGTAAGACTATTTGAATACAAAGAAAACAAAGACAAGTTTGAGGAATATGCCAAAGAAATTTGA